CCATGCGGCTCCGTCCCCCGCGTCGTGCCGGAGCCCCCCAGCCCGGCCGCGGTGGCGAGCCCTTCGCCCCGCGCAGGCTCCCGCGGCCGCCCGCACCCACCTCGCACCCGGCCCGGGGGAATCGCTCCTTCTCCCGGAGCTGGGAACCTCCGCATCCTCACTGCCCAGGAGACGAAATACTATTTATTTAGGGCGACTGGGATTTAAAATAGGGCATTTTCGAGGCAGGATTTTATGAAAAGAAACGAAAAACAGCCCGAGCGCCCGGCGGCCGGCGGCAGCCGCGGGCGGCAACGAGCGCCAGCCTCGCCCGCGCGCGCTGCCCTGCGAGGGGACGCCTCCAAACCTTCCTCCACCGACTCCTATTCCCCCTCTTTGATTAATATTTTTCTACTGTATACTAAAAGGAGAAAAAAAATCCGATACAGCCGCCACTTGTGTCCCCTTCTCTTCCGCGGGCTCGAATTAACCGGCACAGACTCTACCTTGAAAAATTTTCAAAGCTGTTTTTAAATGCCATTTCTTCTAACATCTTTTTATACTTCCCAAAGCCTGCCTCCAACCTCCAGTCCAGATTATACGGTAAATTCCCCATACGTGTGCTTTAAGCAATGCACAGAACAAGATAACGTTACAGATAAAAATGCAACCCAAATTTGCTGTATGCAACCAACTGCACTGCAGCTAACGACGAAAATGAATACGGTGCTCTAATCGAGAAATTTGAAGAGGGTCGCAAAGGCCCCATTTAGCAGTAAATTCCCCGGTAATAAATCGAAACTGCTCTCGAAACTATCTGTCTGTTCCAGGTAGGGATTGTGTGCTTAGTCACCGCGCATGGGGATACCTCCGCATCGGTTTTCCTTCTGAATTTGCCTTTAGGCGCCTAAATAGCAGGTAAAGAGCAGAGCCGAATCGCTGAAGTGTCGGTCCGTAGGGCGACCCGACCCGACGGCCACGGAGCCGTTTGGACGTGAGCGTTACCCGCGCCGACAGGTCCCCTTCGGAGACCTTGGGCGCCCACAAAGCCCCCACGCTCTGGGTTTTTGGTGGGGGGGTATTTTAGGTACTTAAGCAAGTCGCGCTGCGTGTGTTACGCTGGCCGGGGCACGGCGGGCGGCCGAGGCGGGCGGTGCGGCGCAGGGAG